AAAAAATTGAAAATTTTATTTATATTTAATTACATTTATATTTATATTTTTATAAATAAATTTCTAATTTTATTTGATTAAATATAAACATTTAATAATTTTTAAAATTATTTGATAATATTTTTAACAAAATTCAATTTAATTAATTATATTTAGTTATATTTGTAATTAATTATATAATGTTATTAATATTAATTATGAATTGATTAAAGAATTAATTATTATATTTTTATTTAAATAATTAAATTTACAATATAAAAAATATAAATATTAAAAATAATATTTAATTATTATTTACATGAATCGTTTAATATTAATTTATTGAAATGATACAAATCTATTTAAAAATTAAAAAAAAAAGTAAATATATTATAAAATTTAAATATAGATTTAGAATTATTACATTTACTATATATATAATACAAGATATTAAAATATATTTTTTAAAAAAATAATTGAAAGATTTTGCTAAAAATTGTAATTTTTATTATATTAAAAAATATTATAAAATATAGTATTAAAACTGAAAATATAAATAATAATTAACATTAAGATATAATATAAATATTTATTATTATTATTATTAATAATTTTTATATATTATTTATATATACTTATATTTAAATAAATAAATATTATTTTTTATACTATATATAAATATTTTTTTTATTTAAATATAATAATTATAGTTTGTTTATATAAATATACTCATATATAAGTTATGAATTTAAATGTTTTAAAAATAATGATAAAATTTTATAAAAAATTAAAAAAAATTATAAATAAATAATTAATTAAATTATTATAATTTTTTAATTAAATAAAATATTTTTTATTTTTTTCTAATAGATTTAATAAATATAATAAAAATAATATTTAATATATTTTTCAAATATCATTTAATATTTTTTTATTTTATAATATATAATAATCTTAAAAATATAATATATTTATTTTATTAATCATTAATATAATAATTAATATAAATTTTTAAGAATTTATAGATTTTTTTATATAAATATTAAATAAATTATATTTTAATTAATTATAAAAATTTTATTTTAAAATTATTTTAATAAAAATCTAAATATTTTTTATAAAATAATGATAAAATATAAAATATATATATATATATATATAAATTAATTATATTAATACATATAAATTTCATTATTATAGAATATTTTTGTTTATTATTTTAAAAAATTTTTTTATACTTATAATTTAGTCCATATTTTTTATTTAGAAATATAAAAAATTATAAACTTTTTTTATTCTTTATTTTTATTTTATATAAAATATTTTTAAAATTCTTTCAATAATAGGGTTTATATCACTTAAAAACAACTATATTTATTTATATATTTAATATTTGTTTATGATTTTAATTATAATTTTACTTTAGAAAGTGCATTAAATTAAAAGAAGAATATATAACTTCTAATCGTTTGAAATAATATATTATTACTTAATTTAGTCAAAAAAATAAATTAGTTATTAGAAGCAGATAATAATTTAAATAAATAATTTTAAGGATTATTAATTGTATAATTCCCTTTATTATTATTATTTTCAATATTATTTTATTATTTTTAATATATAAAAAATATAGATTATATATTTTTTATATTTATATTTATTTTATTTATTTATATTTTTATTTTCTATTAGTTTATTTTTTTATTTTTTATTAATTTTTTGTATATTTTATAAAAAAAATATGAATATTTTTAATCTATTTTTTCTATTTTACTTTAATAATTCAGATGTATTTTAATGTTTTTTTTATAAATTTTGTTATAAATGTAAATAAAAAAGACTTTTTAACATAGTCTCTTTTTAGATTAATTAAATTTTATAAATAATAATTATTTCATATATAATTAAATAAAAAAATAACTAATAATAATATTCGTTTAATATTGCTTTTTAAATTAAAATATCAAAATATTCATAACATATATTTTAAAATAATTGTACCAAAATTTCTTATAATTAATTAATATTTAACAGTAATATTAAAAAAAAAAATATTTATTACTTAATTAAGTATATTTATGAATTATGTCAATTATAAAAGCAATATATAAAACTATTTTTGATTAAAATAAATTAATTCAATGATTAAATTTAAAAATGTATAAAAAGTATTTTTTATAAAAAGTCATTTAACTTTATTAATTAAAATTAAAATTTATATTTTTTTAAACATTTTAAACAATTATTCTAATATATTTATATTTTTTGATCATAAATATTTTTTTTAATAATATAAATCATATAAAAAGTTTTTTGACTTATTTTGTAAATAAAAAAACCATAATAAAGTTAAAATTTTTTTAAAAAATAAAAAATGATGTCTTTATTTATTTAATTTTTATTATTAAATTTAAATTTTAAAATATTTTTAAAAATTTTATTTTAATGAATTTTTTATTATATTATTATATTTTTAATTTATTATAACAATATTTTTATCTCTTTTACAAATAAAATTATTGATGCAGTCCAAAGTCCAAGGACAAATAAAATTTTAAAAAAACTCTATATTGAATTATGTTATGTAATTGTGTTTCTACTTAAGTTAAATATTAATTTTATATAAAGAATAAAAATGATAGAAAAAATAATATTAAATAAAATTATTAATTTTAGATGAATAAAAACAAGAATAATTATAAATTTATATGTAAAAATAATGAAATATTACATTATTTACATTTAATAACTTTATTTCAAAAAATATGTTTCTAATAAATTAATATATAATATTTAATACGATAATTGATAATTTTATTAAACTATTACTTAATATATAGATATAGTCAAAAAAAGATTTATTTTATATATTAAATAATATAAAGTGTATTAAGTAAATAATTTTTATTTATTCAATTATCTATTTTTAAGTATAAACAAAAAATAAAATATTTAAATTTAAAAATTTGGATATTGGTTCGGTCGCAAACTCTTTTTTTTTGATTTAGATTTTCAGAATAAAAAAATAATGTGATTAAACCAATTAAAATATTAATATGAAAATTAAGAAAATCAATTTAAATAACAAAAATAAGAAAAATGAATCGCTAAAGTCAAAAAAAAGAATTTTTTTTAAAAAAAATAAGAAAACAAAATAAAAGAAAAAAAATCAAATATATGATAAAAAAAAAATTGGGTCAAATTTCGTAGAAGAATATGATCATTGGGATAAAGATAAAGAATTAAAAGCTTTAAAAAAACTAAGGGAAATAAATAATATATTTATCATATTTTTTTTTAATTATTAAGGAATATTCATTATTAATTTGATTAAAAATAATTATTAAAATAATTAATTACATAAAATAAAGTATTATTAAAAAACAAGTTTATTTTAAATTAAAAGAGTTTAAGATATATAACTTAGTTATGTATATATTTGAAAATAAAGAAATAATAAAAATTTCGAAAAAAAAATTACTATAATCAAATTTATTAAAAATAAAAAATAATATATTTAATAATAGTTAAATCAAAATTATATATAAATAATTTTTCATTTGATTTTTTATCAAATTATCACAATAAGAATCCAAATAAAACATAACTAATAAAAAAGAAAGGAAAACTTAAAAACTATTCTATTATAAATCATCGCCTTAAATCTAAATTAAAAATCTAGTATTCATAAATTGACATTATCCTGAATATTCATCTAATTAGTGTCCTTATAAACATACACTGCAACTATATTCTGTACATGTTTTGCAATTACTAAATCTACTAAGACAAACAACACATTAATTTTTTTATTAATCTAAATAGCGACCCTATAAACACTAAGTGCATCTTCCATTTCTAATACATTATTAACATCCCTAAGGGCATGATATAGAATTATTTCCATTAGGACCATCAGGTAATAAAACACATTAACCTGATTCATCTAATTAGTGTCCTTATAAACATACACTGCAACTATATTCTGTACATGTTTTGCAATTACTAAATCTACTAAGACAAACAACACATTAATTTTTTTATTAATCTAAATAGCGACCCTATAAACACTAAGTGCATCTTCCATTTCTAATACATTATTAACATCCCTAAGGGCATGATATAGAATTATTTCCATTAGGACCATCAGGTAATAAAACACATTAACCTGATTCATCTAATTAGTGTCCTTATAAACATACACTGCAACTATATTCTGTACATGTTTTGCAATTACTAAATCTACTAAGACAAACAACACATTAATTTTTTTATTAATCTAAATAGCGACCCTATAAACACTAAGTGCATCTTCCATTTCTAATACATTATTAACATCCCTAAGGGCATGATATAGAATTATTTCCATTAGGACCATCAGGTAATAAAACACATTAACCTGATTCATCTAATTAGTGTGTAGATAAACATACACTGCAACTATATTCTGTACATGTTTTACAATTACTAAATAAACTAAGACAAAAAACACATAAATTATTTTATTAATCTAAATAACGACCAGATTTACATTGAATACATCTTCCATTTTTATCACATTATTAGCATCCTTCAGAGCATTCATATATATTAGAATTATATTATTAGCTATTAAAATGAGTAAATGTACATAATATTAAGATATTAATTAGAATTATTTTTTTAAACATTTTTTATCTTAAAATTTATTATTATTTTTAATTATTTTATTTATTATATTAATTTTTTTGAATATATGCTTATTATTTGCTAAATATTTTAAATATTAAATATATATATGTATATTTAATATTTTTATGAGATTTAAAATGTAGATTTTTATATAATATTTATTTGATTTTTTTTTACATAACAAATATTTATTATAAAAAATACATTAAATTAAAATATAATATTTATTATTAAACAATTTTCATTTTTAAAATTATTAATAAAAAATTTTTTTAATTAAAAAAGTAAAGAAAAAAAATAGTATTTATATATTTTTAATAAATAATTAAATATATTAAAAAAAATATTATATTATAAATATTTATCATATCTTTTTGAATTAAATATATAAAATATACTAATCTATTTTAATTTTTTGTTTTTTATATATTTTAATTATATTAATTAATAATTTTATCTTTTTCTTTTTTTTTGAATATTTTTATATTTATATAATATTATTTATAGATTTTAAATCTATTATATATATTTTTTGAATATATTCGCATGTAAATTAATATGTTTTTATATATTATTATTTCTATTAATATTTTTTTTACTTTATTTTTATATTTATATTACTATATTTTTTAAAATGAATGATTTTAATAGTATTTATATATATTGTAATCACCTTATTTTATTTTTATTTTATTATTATATAAATTTGTTTATTGTTAATACATATCATTTAATTATATGAAATTAAATTAAAAAATATAAAAGCATATATACTATTTTTTTCTATTATTTTGTTTTTGATTAATTCTATTTTTTTATAAATTATTAATATTTTTTTTTTCAATATTTATACTTTTATATTTTTAAATATTTTTATTATTTAATTATATTTTTTTATTTTTATTTTTATATTATTATATATATTTATATTTAAAGTTTTTATTTATTTATTTTTATTTTAATCAAAATAAAATATTTTATTTTGTATCAATAAATATTTTATTTATAAAATAATTAACTATATAATAAATAATAAAGGTTAAAATAATTAATAATAAGATTATTTATATTGCGTATATTACTATTTTTAATAATTATACTTTTTAAATTAATCATTATTGATATTAAAATTTACAAAAGATAATTAAATATTTTATTTATTTTTATTTATATTAGAAATAAATATTTAAATTTATAATATATAAAATTATTATAAATTTTATTATTTAATATTTTTATTTATGCATTTTTCTTTATTTATTTGAATAAAATATAAATTTAAAATTAATTTATTCATTTTATTATTTTTTTAGACCATTATATTTTTTATTTATTTATGATACATTTTCTAAATAAAGTTATTTTTTACAATTATTTTATAATTATAAAAATTGATAATGAAATTTTATAACTTAAAAATATTTTTTTTCAATAATAATAGTCATGGTATTTAAATAATTTTTAATTAAATAAAAAAAAATATAATTAATTTTTTTAAATTATAGGTTAAGTCTTAAAAAAATGTAATTTATTAATATATTTTATATAATTTAGATATCTTTATAAAAAATAAATGTACTATTTTTTTTACAAATTTATATTAAATTCATCTTATATTTTATTTATAATTTTCTACTAAAAAAATCAATAAAAAATTAAATTTTAATGCGTTATTATTTTACAAAGTTTAGAAATAATTCTAATTATTTATTTTACTATATTCAAAAAGAAAATTATTTTTTATTTCAATATATTTTTATTTGTTTTATTTTTTATTATTAATTATTATTTTTTCATTATAAAAAAATATTAATTAAATGGTAAAAAACAAATAGAAAATAATAATAATATTTTAATAAAAATAAGTGGATAATTTTTTTTTTTATGAATAATTGAATTTTTATGCAGGAAAAATACAGGATGTTCATTTTAATGTATTTGAGTATTTGGATATATTCATTTCTTTTTTATGTATTTTTGTTTGTTTATGGAAAAAAAATATATGAATAATAATGTAAATAATTTTGGAAAATAAATTAGAAGATAAAGCTTCAGAAAGTATTAAAGTAAATATTTAATAATAATATATATAAAATTGAAGAAAATAATAAAAAACCATATTTTAGATCTTTTTAGTTTATAATCTTAAACTTTACATATTATTTTAATAAATAAAAATCAAAAATTAATTCAATTTTTATTATATTTTTTTTTTTGAAATTCTAGATAATTCTATAAATAAACATATGAACAAAGAAAATGAAATATAAATTTGAGATTTTAAGTTATCTTTATTAAACCCAAAGAGAGAGATTTACATACTGAATAATTTTGACTTAAATTAATCTAATTACGGGCTATTTAAAAGTCAATTTTTAAAAATTAATATGACTTTGAAAAATTTTTAAAAATTATGTTTATCTGCCTCTATTATTTTGATGCACATTTAGTTTAATTATGAAATTAATTTTTTAATTTTCGAATGGTTAATTGGCTTAAATAGCCAGTTTTTCTCACATTCTTAATGAAACGGTTTAATATGCATATATTTTAAGGTTAAATATAAAATATATCTATGATAATTAAAAAAAGAATCGTGAGAGTTCAAAAGAAAACGGATTATCTGTCCAAGTTTTTGTTTTTGGAGATTTTTATTTATATTATTTTTGGTAAAGATTAAGTTGATTAATACTATTGAAATTAATAGTATAAAATTATATGTGATAGTAATATTATTACTTAATTTTCAGAAGAAAATAAAGTTAAAATAATATTTAAATAAATTTATATTGATATTTTTTATTTAAAAAAACTATTTATTTATATTATTAAGTTTTATTTATTTTTATTAATTATGATATTTTTTCTAATAATTTAATTAAAACATTTTCCAAAAAATATATCAATTTATTTATTTAATTTTAATTTTAATATTTTTAATTTTAGTTTTATTTTAGAAAACCTATTAATTTTCAAAATGAGATTATATATCTCTGTTTTAATTTAAAATTAAAACATTAGTACTTATTTGAATTTCTAAAATAGAATTATTTTTACTTAAAACTGATAATGATTTTAAAAATATTGTTAATGATTATTTGCTTTATTATTTTTTCATATACAAGTGATTAATTTCATTTTATTATATTAAAAATACTAAATATAAAATATATGTGTTTTATATCTGTAATATATAGTAATTTATAAAAATTTGATATCTTTATTCCCATTTTTTATTTTTTTATTTGTTAATTAATTATTTTCATATTTTTTTATATAACTTTTATGTTTTTGAAATAAATTTACATATAAATATATATATATATATATATATATATAGTAGTTTCTCATCAAAAAATAATTAAAATATTATTATTAATTAAAATTATTTTATTAAAATAAATAAAAAATTATAAATTAATTATTAATATTATCAAACTTCCACCCGTCCCACTAAAATCAAATATAAGTCAACTTTGGGTAATCATTTGAAGATTTTATAATTTAGTTTACTTTCTATACAAGTATTTATCCAGTTTAATTTATCTAATGATTCCCTAATTTACTAATTAATATTTTTCATATTAAAATATTTGGTAAAAAAGCATAATATATTTACCAAAACATTCTGTTATTTTAATTAAGTTCCTGAATAATACTAATTATTTCATTAAGGATATGCACGCGCACGAACGTCATAAAAGAAATAAAAAAGCATATAGTATATGTAGCCATCTATATTTTATTCGAATGTAATATATCCCTAAATAAGTAGTAATAGTTATTACAACCAATAGAATGCATATAAATCACTCCGAGAACATATTTTATTATGACAAAATTTAGTTATATTTAGTAATTCGTGTGTTTTATTCATTTGTATATGGTCTTAAACCAAGAAAAGAAATGGCGAAATTATATTTTATAAAAAGCAATTTATAAAAAATATTTACAAACTTAAATAATATTGTATAAAAGCTATTTTTTCAAAAGTAAAAATATCATAATAATAATAATATTTTAAAACTTATCAATCCAAAATATCATTAATATAACTAATTATTATAAACACTATCGATAAATTTTTAAATTTTCAATTAGTTTTATATAAATAATTTCGTTAATTTCTTGTTAACTTTTTTAAATTTAAATCATAAATAATTATTATAATATTAAATAAATAATTATTATAATATTAAATATTTTTTTTAAAATAAAAAAAAAAAAATTATTTTATAAAAAAAAAAATAGTTTAAATAATATTACAAAAAAAAAAAAAAGGTTGATCATAAAATTATTAAAATATAAATATTATAAAATATTAACATAAATTTATCTAATAAATATATTTAACATTTTGTTTATAAAAAAAAGAAAAAAAAAAGAAAATTATATATAATATTATATATATTTTCCAATATTAAATAATATTAATTATTAAATATTAAAGAATTCTCTTAAATTGCACATATATATATATGAATTTAATTAAAAAAACATATTGAAAACTCTAATTTTATATGAAGTTTAAAAAGTTTTATATCTATAATTTACTATATACTTAAAAATAAAAATTTAAGTTAATAATAACTATAATGCGAAAAATATTAACTGAACTGAAATGATAATTATTAATATTATATAAAATTTATGCTATAAATAGTCAAAAAATAGTCAATTTATTATTACATATAAATAAAAATAAAAATAATATAAAATATTAAAAATGTATATCCAGTAAATAGAAAATAAAAAAATAAATATATAAAAATATATATAAATATATATAAATATATATATATATATAATATATATATATATATATATAAATATATATATCATCTATATATTTATTTATAATAATAATCATATTAATATTTAAATTAATATTATTATTTTTTATTTTTTTTATAA